CTGCTCCCCCCCCACCCCGCCCCGCAGGCCAGCCGGTGGCATAGATGAAGAGCACCCATCCCGCCCCCCCCCCGCCCCGCCCCACGACCTCCAGCTTCGGTGACCCATGCTGACGGTGAGGAGCCTCCAGGCAGTGGACCTTCTTGCCCCTGTGGCCTTGCGGGCGCCCCCAGGGTCTGGTGACTGGACGTGAGCCAGGGCGGCAGGGCCAGCACCAGGCCGGGACGGCTGCAATTTCTAAAGAGTTTGTTGTTTCCTTTTTCTAAAAAAAAAAAAAGACACGAGAAAAAACCTCATCCTTGGCCTCCGGTAGCACTGGGAATGCCCTCCATCTACAGCAGGCCCGGGGCTGCTGGCCAAGGAGCCCCGTCCCTCAGATGCCCTCCCCAGGGCAGCCAGACCCCCGGGGGCTACACACACCCATGCTGGGGCGGGAGGGGGGCGGGCTGGCCAAGGGGCCTGCAAGACGGGGGAAGAGTGGCCCCACCACGAGGGTCCAGTGAGCCCACGGTGACCTCCACCTGAGTGCGGTGGGAGTTAGGGTTAGGGCCCCAGGTCCTGTGGCCGGTGAGACCCCCGGGGTGAGGGCTGGGCTTGCCCAGGAGCCCACAAGGCAAGGGCTTCCTGGTGACAAGCAGAGGGCACTGTTCGAGCCCCTGGGATGCAACAGTCCTAGTGCATCCCAAGGTGCCCACCAGTAGAGGACAGAAAGGAACCTGTCCTCCAGACCGCCTTCCCTACCATGCAGGACCTTGGGGGACAATTACAAGTTCAGTTTCAGAAGCAGCCCAAGCCTAGTCCATTCTAAAAGTCCTTAAAATGCTGGAAAGATAAGAACAAGGGAAAGGGGGAAGGGTAAGGGGTGGTGGGAATGGCCTGGAATGGGCCTGGCCTCACCTGCCCTACTGGTGAGGCCAGGGTGGGCGGGGGTGGGACAGACGCCTGGGGCAAGGTGGTGGAGAGGGGGCTGGGCTGGTGGTTCTGGAACAGAGGCTGCTGCGCACCATCCAGGGAAAACCCACACTTTATTTTGACTCTTCCAAAGCACCCACACACAGAGAAAATGGCTCCCACCCCACACGCCAAGCCGCCTGCAGCTCCATCTTCCATGCTGGACTGGTCAGTGCTGGACGCAAGCTCAGCTGTGCTCAGCAAGCCACCGAGTGGGTGCCCACATGGGGCCGGTGCTCACAGCTCCTGGTGGGGAGGAGGGCCGAAGCGGCAGCTCCGGTTGGCTTCTCCCCCTGGCTGCGGACCCTCAGCCACCAGGGAGTTCCCTTCCCTGCCACTTCTCCCCCCGGAGGATTCTTGGAGGGACCTTGGGGCTCAGAGCCTTTGAGAACCCTGAGAAGGCCAGGGCTCCTGCCCCCACATGAGCATTGGAGCGTCACACACCCCTCCCCCACCCACCATGCATTTCCATCGGGCCTCAGATCCCAGGCTGAGATCCCCATCAGGGTCTTATGCTCAGGCAGACCCCAGCGCTTTCTCCTAACAAGGGCATCGTGCATTTCTTCACATGCCTCCAAAGACGTCCTCCCCTTGGCCTGGCTGCTGCCATGTATGCCCAGCTGGACAGGAGGAATTATCCCCCTTGACCGCTAGGAAAACCAAGGCAGGGATGCGCTTAAGCGGAGTGGTAGTGGCCCCCCAGGGTGCTGTGCTGAGAAGGATTCAGAGCAAATATCTGAGCATCAGGGGGAGGTACGGGGTTGATTAGCAATGTGTGTCAGGATCGGCCCTGCAGCAGGATCGCAGGAGCCGGCGCTTGAGGTCACTGTCCAGGCCGAGCGCTCACCTGGCCTAGGACAGGAAGGTGCGCACGCAGCTGTGGATGGGGGCCCTGCAGATGGGGCACAGCTGCAGGCTGGGCGCGCACTCGGCACAGGCCAGGTGGCCGCAGGGCACGAAGACGACGGCCACAGCACGGTCCAAGCACACCCTGCACGTCCGCTCCTCGCGCAGGCGCTGCAGCTGCATCTCCACGCCGGCGTCCCGGGCTCCTGGGGCCTCGAGAGCCACCTGCACCCCCTCGGCCTGGGCTCCACCTGGGTCTCCACAGTGGGGACCTGTGACATCGCCCCACACCCTGACCTCCACCCTCTGTACTGGCCGATGGGCAGGTGGGCCAGACCAGGAGTGCCCGCCCCCCACCGTGGGATGCAGGAGGGCCGGCCCCGCCCCCACCCCAGGTGGGCCCTCACCCTCACCTGCCTCCCTGGTGCCTGACACCTGGGCCTCTCTGCTGGACGTGGGCAGCTTGGGCGGGTTAGGGCCCCAGGTCCTGTGGCCGGTGAGACCCCCGGGGTGAGGGCTGGGCTTGCCCAGGAGCCCACAAGGCAAGGGCTTCCTGGTGACAAGCAGAGGGCACTGTTCGAGCCCCTGGGATGCAACAGTCCTAGTGCATCCCAAGGTGCCCACCAGTAGAGGACAGAAAGGAACCTGTCCTCCAGACCGCCTTCCCTACCATGCAGGACCTTGGGGGACAATTACAAGTTCAGTTTCAGAAGCAGCCCAAGCCTAGTCCATTCTAAAAGTCCTTAAAATGCTGGAAAGATAAGAACAAGGGAAAGGGGGAAGGGTAAGGGGTGGTGGGAATGGCCTGGAATGGGCCTGGCCTCACCTGCCCTACTGGTGAGGCCAGGGTGGGCGGGGGTGGGACAGACGCCTGGGGCAAGGTGGTGGAGAGGGGGCTGGGCTGGTGGTTCTGGAACAGAGGCTGCTGCGCACCATCCAGGGAAAACCCACACTTTATTTTGACTCTTCCAAAGCACCCACACACAGAGAAAATGGCTCCCACCCCACACGCCAAGCCGCCTGCAGCTCCATCTTCCATGCTGGACTGGTCAGTGCTGGACGCAAGCTCAGCTGTGCTCAGCAAGCCACCGAGTGGGTGCCCACATGGGGCCGGTGCTCACAGCTCCTGGTGGGGAGGAGGGCCGAAGCGGCAGCTCCGGTTGGCTTCTCCCCCTGGCTGCGGACCCTCAGCCACCAGGGAGTTCCCTTCCCTGCCACTTCTCCCCCCGGAGGATTCTTGGAGGGACCTTGGGGCTCAGAGCCTTTGAGAACCCTGAGAAGGCCAGGGCTCCTGCCCCCACATGAGCATTGGAGCGTCACACACCCCTCCCCCACCCACCATGCATTTCCATCGGGCCTCAGATCCCAGGCTGAGATCCCCATCAGGGTCTTATGCTCAGGCAGACCCCAGCGCTTTCTCCTAACAAGGGCATCGTGCATTTCTTCACATGCCTCCAAAGACGTCCTCCCCTTGGCCTGGCTGCTGCCATGTATGCCCAGCTGGACAGGAGGAATTATCCCCCTTGACCGCTAGGAAAACCAAGGCAGGGATGCGCTTAAGCGGAGTGGTAGTGGCCCCCCAGGGTGCTGTGCTGAGAAGGATTCAGAGCAAATATCTGAGCATCAGGGGGAGGTACGGGGTTGATTAGCAATGTGTGTCAGGATCGGCCCTGCAGCAGGATCGCAGGAGCCGGCGCTTGAGGTCACTGTCCAGGCCGAGCGCTCACCTGGCCTAGGACAGGAAGGTGCGCACGCAGCTGTGGATGGGGGCCCTGCAGATGGGGCACAGCTGCAGGCTGGGCGCGCACTCGGCACAGGCCAGGTGGCCGCAGGGCACGAAGACGACGGCCACAGCACGGTCCAAGCACACCCTGCACGTCCGCTCCTCGCGCAGGCGCTGCAGCTGCATCTCCACGCCGGCGTCCCGGGCTCCTGGGGCCTCGAGAGCCACCTGCACCCCCTCGGCCTGGGCTCCACCTGGGTCTCCACAGTGGGGACCTGTGACATCGCCCCACACCCTGACCTCCACCCTCTGTACTGGCCGATGGGCAGGTGGGCCAGACCAGGAGTGCCCGCCCCCCACCGTGGGATGCAGGAGGGCCGGCCCCGCCCCCACCCCAGGTGGGCCCTCACCCTCACCTGCCTCCCTGGTGCCTGACACCTGGGCCTCTCTGCTGGACGTGGGCAGCTTGGGCCCTGGGTGGACAGGAGCTGTGGGCAGGTAGAACAGGGGTGAGGCCCAGGTCCCCAGGGGACACGAGGCCTGGCCCAGAGACAGCAGGCCACAGGTGAGCCCTAGTAGCAGCCCGCTCCCCCACCCACAGTGCGCCAGGATCCCAGAGCCCACTCCACCAGGACGCTCGGCCCATCCAGCCCCTCGCGCCGTGGCCCTGGACTCTGCGGGCCGGGCCCCTGGGGGTGGCGAGGGAAGGCTGTGCCCAGAGGCAATGAGCAGGGAGAGGTGGGCGGTGTCCAGAGAGGTGGAGGTACCTCTGGCCCCTGCTGCCCGGCCCCCATCCTCTTCCTGGAGCAGGTCGGCCACCAGCTGCGACGTGGACACGCTGGTTGGCACCACTTGGCGGTACTTACGCTGCAGCAGCCCTTGCACCTGGCCCTGCCCGAAGCCCATCCGGAGCACGGCCTGCACTGCTGGGCACTGGCTCCAGGCGGGCCGCTGCTGGTCGCCCCCAGCATCTGCAAGGCAGGGCGAGGGGTGCTAGACCGAGGGCAGTCAGGGGCCAGGGCCTCGGGGTCCCGGCAGCGGCCAGCCACTGTGGCATGTCACCAGGGCCACCTCAACACAAGGGGCCCTGTGGCCATCACAGCCACTCCATCCATGTCTGAGTCAGGGCTGTGTTCCCAGGGCCTGTGTCAGAGGTGCCGCCACACCAGGAAGATGGAAACCTGATCACCAAGGCAGCCACGGACAGAACCCGACTACGTGCCAGGCGCTGCTCCCGGGGCGACACACAGACCCCTGTTTAATCCCAGTCGAGGCTGGCACCAGCCCCATTTCACAGCTCAGGGCACTGAGGCTCAGACAGCACAGTCGGGACCTGAACCCTGGAGCCCCTCAGACCCTGCCCCCGCCCATCCCCCCGCCCGGCACTGATGGAGAGCAGAGCTCCGCGCTGCCGGCCCCTCTGTGCTGGGGATGGAGGCTGGTCGGCTCTCGTGCGTGGTTGGCTGCCGCCCCGGCAGAGGCCGCTCGGTGCACAGCAGCCTCTCCCCCACCACGCCCCTGTGCCAGCCTCGGGGTTGGCTGTGCACACAGTGGCCAGCTCAGGGGTAGCGGGGGATGGCTTTGGCCTCCCTGGAGCCCTGGACACACACGCAGTGCCTGTGTGAAGCCCCCCGTGAAGCAAGCCCAAGCAGCACCCTTAACTCTCCCTAATGCCCTGTAGGGGGGATACCCAACGGCTCGGCCACAGTGCAGGAGGGAGGTGCCCCAGGGAGCCAAGCTCAGGCTGCGTGTCCCGGCTCACCTGAGGGGGTGGCGGGAACTGCGTCTTCTGGTTCCTCTGAACGGTCCTGGAAGGAGCCAGAGAATACCTGTGCCCCGAGTAGGCGGAGGAGCAGGGGTCGGGGGGACCCTCACCACCCATCCCCCAGATCCCTAGGGCAGGCAGAACTCACCCAGGAGCCCGGCACGCGGCAACAAGACTCCTGGACCCTGCAGACAAAGTCCCTTCCTTTTTTCTGGAGCAGGAACTCACACCTGAGGAAAGTGGGTTTGGAAGCCCCGTGGGCAGTGGGCTGGGGCTGTCAGAGGACCCCCCGCACTGGCCAGGCCTGGCCCCGTGGACCCTTTGGGCCGGGGTCATGCCTTCGTCCCCGCTTCCCCCACCCCCCCTGTGGGGCAGCTGGGGCTCCGGGGTGGTGGGCGCTTGCTGGGAAGCTGTTTTGGAGACAGACCCTTGAACATCAAGGGAGAAATAGCAGAAGCGCCGTCCCCAGAGAGTCCCCCCCACACTGGTCCCTGAGACTTGACACCCCTGGGACTGGGGAAGGGAGGCTGGCCTGCAGAGTCCATACCTGGGGAACCACCTGGCATGCTCGGTCCAGGGGTCGTCGCCTTGCTCCCAGCTCTGCAGACCCCCGTAGCAGAAGAAACACCTCACCTTGTCCTGCTGGCCTGGGATGGAGCCAACACACTGGTCCTGACCTCGCCTGGTCCCTTGCACAGCCTGTGTGTCCCCCAAGGCCAGGGTTGGGCACTCCCAGGTGGCCTTTCCTTCTAGGGCAAGGGCTCTCTGGGGTTGTTTGTGAGCCTTGCAGGTTCCCACTGGCCTCTGCCACCCCTTTGCCAAGCGTTCTCCTCAGAATTCACGTGTACCCCATTTTCTCGACAGTGGAATAGGGGTAACGATGTCTGGGTACTCGCCAGGATCGAGGTGCACGTTGGGGAAAGGGATGCAGGGGGTGTCCACAGTATGTATGGAAAGGTGGGGGCAGAACCCTGGTGCCTCGCACCCCGCACCTCTGCCCCAGGTGCCCCCTCCTCAGGATGGATTCCCAGTGATGGAAAGAAGGGGAACTGTCTGCTGCCAGGCTTGGTCTTAGGGGCTCACGACTCCACCGGGGGATGTGGACCCTCATCTCTGTACCTCCGAGGCCCTCACCCCTGCCTCACCCCCTACGATCAACAGATTTGGTGCAGAGACCACAGATCAGGGGCTGCTACAGGGTACATCCCACTGCCAGCCCTCCAAGAGCCTGTCCCTGGACTCCTGGGGGCCCTGCCGGTGCCCCCATACGCCCCTCTCTTCCTCCTGGCTCCCCCATCCCATCACTGTCCCCCCAGCCCAGGGTCCAACAGTTCCGTGCTGGTCTGGCCTCTCCCCAGGTGCGCGTGTAGGTTGGAAGCACAGGAGAGACTGCAGGGCGGGGGGCAGGCATGGAAGAGCTGTGGGGACCCTCCCTGTCCCGGGGGCGGACGCCGTGGAGAAGGTAGAGCCCAGTCCAGAAGCATCTGCAGTGGCGCCCAGGCCCCCCCGGGACTCACCGGCGTGGAAGAAGCCGGCGGCGGCCAGCAGCTCCGGCGGCACCACGGCGCTCAGCGGCCAGTCGCAGAAGGAGGCCAGCCGCAGCTCCTCGGAGCCCATCCCCGGGAAGGCGGGCCTCGCGGATGGGGCGTCCCCGGCCCCATATTCCTCCTCCTCCTCTGCCAGGGGGCACAGCTGGCCCAGGATCTGCCCGTCCATGTGGTCCCGGCCTCCCCAGGACAGGGCACTGTCGGGGCGCTGGCCCTGAAGGTGGCCGCATGGAGAGTGGGGTCGGCGGTGCCCCCAAGTGGGGCAGCCTCCAGCTGCACAGCGGCTGGGCTCCAGGCCACAGCACTAGCACTTGGTCCCGTCCTCGGACCCCATAGAGAAGACAGCAACTGTGACAAGTTCTGTGGCAGGGATGGGCCCCTGGGCAGCTGGTTCTGGAATGTGCTCAGCCAGCCTCCCCAGGGCTTCTGACCCCTGGGCCCTGCATGGGGATAACAGTGGTTGGGCAGGCATGGTCCTGCCCCCTAGATGCCCCGGGTTGGGGAGCAGCCAGGGGACTGGGGGTGGGGGCCGCTGGGGCCCACCACTTTCTGGAAGGGGCCAGCACGGCAGCCTGTGTCACATGCTCGCTGCAGAGGGAGTGTCACAGGGCTCTGGGGCCACTGTGAGGGCTGCGGCTCTCACTCTGCTCTACAGGGGAAGGCGGGGTCCCTTGGCACGAGGGGAGGGGCCGGAGCATGGAGACCCACCCAAGGCAGCAGAGGGCTGGTACTGGCTCTGGGACCTTGGTGGGGGGAGGGGAGGGGGAGGGGTGGGTGATGCTATCCGTCAGCTCCGAGCTCCTGGGCGGCGTGCCAGGGGGGCCTCTGAAAGCAGAAGGTTCCAGGTAATCTAAATTACACAGTCAGTGCTGCCCGGCGGCAGGAGGGCAGCTCCCTCTACAGGGATGACATGGGTCAGCCGAGGATGCAGGGGTGCGTAGTGAAGGGCTGGGCCTATGCCCTGGACTGGTTCCCCTGGATGTTCTCGTGCTCCGAACCCTGGAGCTGAAAGGGGTTTGAGTCATCCCTGCGTCCTGCTGGGCGGGAGTAGCAGGCCCTCAGCGGGCCCTGGAGCAGCTCCTGCCCTCCGGCCTTGAAGATTCCGTCCCCTCCCTTGGCCTCAGCGTCCCAGGGGCCCAGAAGGTGGAGCCACATGTGGTGAGGTCGATCTTCCCACTTGAACTAGACTCCCTGTGGCGCTGTAACCCAGACGCCAGGGACGTTTGGGGCACGTCCACAATTCCAGGTCCCTGTACCTGCCGCTCCATCGGGTGCCTAGAGCTGGCCCCCCTCCCCAGGCCCGGACCCCCTGCCACCCCCTCCTTGCTAGGTGTGCAGCCCAACCAGCCCAGGGTGCCCTGGCTCCTGGTCTGGGGGGCCCGGAGCTGCTCCAGGCCCCAGCCCGAGCCCCTGGCCACGTGGGTGCCCCCTTCCCTGGACAAGCTGCCCTCAAGCCTGGTCACAGCCACAGGTCTGCCAATCAGCCCGAGCCCAGGGGCCCCAGCGCCCCCAAACCCAACAGTTAGGGAAGGAGGTGGAGGGCTGTAACCCCAGTGGGCAGAGCGGGGGCCCTAAGACAGAGGGCTCTGGGGTGGAAGGGACGAAGAGGAAGACCGGACGGGGCGGCCTGCCCCCACAGCCCCTCCCCGGGGTGCAAACCTCCTTGCTGCTCCCAAGAACAGGCTCAGTGGGGACCCTGTCTGGACCCCAGGGCCAGGCAGGCCCAGTGAGGGTCCCAAAGGGGGGTGGGCAGAGGGGGGCCCCATCCGGGCCTGGAGCCCCCGTGTCCCCCCAGCGGCCCTCCCCCCACCCCCCGTGGAGCTGCATGAGCCCGGCACAGAGCGAGGAGGCTGGAGCCCAGACCTGTGCCCCAGTCCTGGGAGTGGGGTGCACTCTCGCCCCCAGGGAGACCCCTTTTGACATCCTGGCTGCACTGGCCCTCAGCCCCATGTGGCCAGGGTCCCATGGAGTCGCTGGAGTCCTCTCCCAGCAGAGGCCTGGAGCCACCTAGTTCCCTGCAGGAAAGCCTGGTAAAGGGTGTGGCCGGACGTCTGTGCCCCTCCCAGGCTCCTAAGCCTGAGCAGCCTGTCCTGGGCAGGGGGGGGCACTGGGCGAGGGGCGCTCGGGCAACTGGAAGGCCGGGTCTCCCAGGAGAGGGTCCTGGGAGCAGGTGGAGATGGATGGGCCGCAGCTGGGACCTCCCAGTGAGCCGCCTTGGGATCCCCGGCCCTTGCCCTCTCTTCTCCGGTTCCCCACCCTGTGCAGAAATACCGTGACCTCTGCCACTCCAACAAACCGCAGGTGTGCCCGTCCTGGGGCCCCTGCAGTAGGTCTCTCCGGGGACGGCCCTCTGCCCCACCCTACCCACACCCTTTGGTGGCCGGGACGAGGGCAAGAGTCCCCAGGTACTGGGTCTCCAGATGCTCCTATCTCAGGAGGGAAACTGCAGCCCCCAGGTTTGCTCTGAATCCTCTGGACCTGGGGACTGGCTGGCTCAGAGGACCCTCTGAGGTGGCCCTGGCAGCAGTGGCAGTGTCCCCTGGGGGCTCATCTGAGGTCTGTTCCCTCGGATCCTGAAATTTGGGGTGGGGAGGGGGGAAGCAGCCTCCCTCCCTTCTGGAAATTCCAAACACGCATCCTCCAGGCACCACCCCACCCCGTGGTGGAGTCTCCCCGCGAAGGAGGGCCGGTGCCTGAGCTGAGGAAGCCCCGCCCCCTGC